GGGAGGCAATCCCTGCTGCCCCCCACTGCCCTGTGCTAAATGGGGGGGCTCTGGCATGAGCCCATGGAGGCCCCAATGGCCGCTGCAGCATCTGGTGAGTTCAGGGCTTTTTTTTTTTTTTTTTTAAGTGCTGGGAACCGGGGCTGGGCAGGGCAGCCATTGATGGGGCTGGGAGAATGGGTGAGGGTCAGGGGGCGCTTAGGGGATCTGAGGGAGCAGGCAGGGGATGGGGCCTGCTAGGGGTCCCCCCATGGTTCAGAGGCTTCAAATCAATTTGGACCTTTTAATTGGTCTCCCGATTTGATTTGGTTTCGGAGATTCAGCCGCCAAATTAGGCCAAATCTCCTCCAAATTGAATCAGCACCCAAAGCTTCACACACCTCTAATATCCTGCCTTCCAGTTTTTTCACATGGCAGATAGAGCCTTCAAGATTACCGTTTGAGTGACTTACACAGTTAACACTTATTTTGCATATGTACTCCAATACAAAATTGTTTCTGTCATATTAGTTTTATGCAAACATATTTTTATGAACTTGGATAAAATAGAGTAGTTTAAAGCAAAATTTGCTATGAATTTGAATATGCATGCACTGTCCCTTAACCACCCGCTCATACTCTTTTACACCTTTAAAAAGTAATATTCTATATATATATATATATAAAGGGCCTAGTCCATCTGTCTGTGTGTCTTTCTGTAATGCTCTTGAGGGGCATGGCTCTAGCCAGTGCTGCGTCTAGAATGCCTGTCAAGAAGGGCTCTGGCAGAGCGGGCCAGACGGATGCAGAGCAGGGTGGGACGGGGGTGGTGTGGGGCCAGACACAGCGGGGGAAGGAGGGTAGTGCGAGGCTGGATGCAGAATGGGTGCCAGAGGGTGGTGCGGGACCAGACGTGGGGCAGGGTGACACGGGGCCAGATGCAGAAGGGGCAGGTGGCGCGTGGCTGGATGGGATGTGGCAGCAATGTAGGACAGTAGCTGGCAATGGCAGCAGCCACTTACAAGCTTCCCCCACTGCTCCCAGGAAGCAGTGGCGACGTGGGGAGGTGAGTGATGGTACTTTGTCCCCCCCACCTCCCCCAGGCATTCTTGATGGGCAATTTGCTAGTAGAAAAATAAGGCAGGCATCTCTGATATAACAATATATAGAAAGAAGAAAAAAGTTAAGCTTTAGCTTGCATGGTCTTTGGAGCATCAGACCCAGGACTGCAGTCTGCAAGGGGACAAATGATGTCTTCTCTGATTAATGTCTCATGCAAGCAGACTTTCTGTGAATTGGTTGATCAGGCTGGAACAACCATGGTACCTTAGTCTTTCCTTCTTTGGACTGGCCTTAGGAAAACATGAGCACCATCAGCCTTCCTTGATGAGGTGGTAGCCCAAAATGAACACACCTTCTTTAATATTTACCTGTATTTCTAGATTTCTTGTTCCAGTTTGTTCAGCTGTTGGTCATCTCCAAAGAGATCTGAATAAATCACACGATCACAGCTCCTTCCCTCCAATAATATGGCCTTATCTGAATTCAAAGGGTAGGAATTTGACGTTAGGTCAGTTTAATGTATCAGTCAGTTTAACATATCTCCCAAATTAACCCCCCAAAATTAATATCCCCAAAGTTTGGTGATAATTTTCATACCATAGTCTTCTTTTACAACAGCAATAGATGATGGGCTTTATAAATATGGGATTAGATAGAGGTGCCTTCACAAATGCAGTTTTCACTGCGCCCTGCTCAATGAGTTAACAGGTTGCAGTAAAGATGACTCAGGTTACTCAACATTCCTACAAAATTTTGGCAGCCTCAATAATCAGTATTGTCTATCACTTGCCTCATTTTTTCATATTTGAATGTTCTTCGAATTTCCTAAATTTTTTGTTGCTTTTAACTAGCAAAGTTTTGGGAAAGCAGAAATGAATTTATTTGGCTTGGTCACAAAAAAAGGGTCTCCCATAGGTGACAGAACCTGTTTTAGTTCAATAAATATAAAATTTAAGCAAAATACTAAGAGTTTGCAGTAGAAGGATGTTTGAAATGTCTATGCACTAGGCCTTACTCAGATCAACTTATAGTCCTCCCATGTCTTTTGTAGAGTTGTTGCCAGTATGTATATAACTTCACTATTCATGTGTTGAAATATGTTGTCTACTTCTGGCTTCCAGTGGTGCTGGTCTAAACACATTTTGAGTTTCATTTTTTAATAACTATAATATGGGATTTGCAATATATATGATTGTTCATAAGAAATAGATAAAACTGCATGGTTAAGAACTAAAATAAAAAACCCAAGCTGAGCCCGTATTAAATCATATTATAGGACTCAAAGGGAATTCTGTTTTTCATGTAATTGCCTATTAAGATAAAATTTTGCTTAAACATTTAATGTATTGAGACTATTGTCTGCATCTGCTTGGGCACGTAAAGTATAAGAGAGAAAGTGCAGTTTCTTATAATGTGAATAGTTAGTTCTTTGTAGTAGATTTCAATTTGTTAATTATATTTTAACTCAATTTACCGCTATCCTGCATCAATTGAAAAGTATGTTTAGAAGAAATACTTACTCAATTTTATACTTTAACTGTACTGGGAAGTTATTTCTCAAAATGATTGTCTTCTGCAGATAGCCTGTGAGATGGGGAAAATTGCACTTGCTTTCCTTTTCCCTAAGAAGACAGAGACTCTTTAATGGCCCATTGTAATTTTAAGACTGTAATGGTGCCACCAGCAGAGAAGTTATAGTATAAGATAGAACTGGTATTCTTAAAATTTTAAGAAGCAAATTGAGACAGCTGCCGTTACCTTTAGTGTTCTGTACCTAATGTAAAAATAACATGGTTATCCGATGAGGTATAAATTATAACCCATTTAAAATGAAAGCTGGAAAGAAGTCTCACCACTGCTAGTTTTTTTATTTAAAAAGTAAAATTTGGCAAAAAACCTACAATTTAATCTCAGATTGATATAATAAAAATACAAGAAGCTGCTTTTCATAGCCAAGTATATAGTTTTGTATATTACTCAGATGTATGAAACATGTAAACAATTCTGACTCGTGCCCTGTGAAGAATACATAATGAGCTCTTGATTGAATCAAATTCATTTTAAACAGAAATTAATTTTTATAGGATGTGCTCAAGGTTCAATTGTAATTCCATTTGAGGCTGGAGACTACAGCAAAATGGGCTATGGCCCATTCTTTCCTTTCCCCCAAATGCTTCCTGCCTGCTGCATCCCACTTGGTAGAAGCAGAATATGTTTAAAAATCCATTATTTTTTTATTGGCCAGGACACTAATGGAGGCCTTCCATGACAGCTCTGTTTTACAAGCTGAATACTCTAATTAGGCCAGTTACTGATCAGTTGTTGGGATATCGATTGTGTCATTTATCAAAGAGCTGGAAAAGCAAATTCTTTTTTTCTGTTGTTGTTAATTTAAGTCTGCCTTACCTACTGGGTATCAGTCTTTAATTTAGTACTAGTCTGTCTCAATGCTGGGCTTAATTTAACCGGTAATATACTCACAGAAGATAACACATTTGGTTCCCGAGGAATAAGCAATAAGTGTTAAATCTTCACTGTGTAACTTAGATTTCTGTTACAGAAAAGGCACACACAATGGTTAACCATGTGAATATTCTATTTAACTGGCTCTGAATATAATGAGGAGAGGAAAACATTAATCAGATGTGTTATTTGTCTAATGGCTGTTGAAAGAAGAAAGGAGCTTATGAGACTTGATTTATATTTGCTTCTGTGTTGTCACAATTAAGCTCTCAAAATTGATCAAAACTGAATTGAGATGGCTCTTGGCTACTACTGTATCTTGCTTGGAAACTTTTGCCTTATAAGACTAAGAGTTATGCAAGCATTATGCTCCCGAACCAGGAATGCTGTTTAAACCTGGGCATGTTACTGACATTTCTTTCAGTATCAAGCACAGCACTCAAAAATCAGTTGCTGTAGTATCTTCCAAGACTCTTCCAAGAATACCATCACACCTTATAACACAGAATGATGTTGTACCTTGACCTCTTCCCTTATGTTCTGAAACTTTAAAATGCCAGGGTAAAGACAGACATTTTCTATTCAATTGATATGCGAACCAGCTACATTTATACTAAAATACTGTATATCTGTATCTATATACTTTTATCTATATCAATATCTGTATCTATACATTCTGACTTAAAAATAAAGCCTTTGGGATGAGATCTCCTGCCTCATGAAAAGCAGACTCCACATGGAAGTCTCTAAAAATCTGATAGGGAATCACAAAGAATCAATTATCAGAATATAATTCTACCAAATAGCAATTAGGCAAAATACTGTACTTTGCTTACTGTAGATTTTCCCCTTATGTTAGCTATATAAAAATGCTTGGGGAGGGATTCCTCAGGTTGAGAAATAGTGGGTTTTTTTCTTTCAAGTAGTTGCTCCAGAGAATAATTTAGGAGCTGCCATATGAATGCTGGAGTTGCTGGAGGGTCGGAGGGTATGAAAATTAAGACAGACTGGAGGTGTGGCTGAAGTTTATTCAGTTGCTAGCCAGAAGTCCTGGGCTTAGGAATTATAAAACCTTAGTTACAAAGCTGCTCCAGAGTGTGACTGTTGGAGCATATGTGCTCAGTCTCTGAAAGAAGGGAACCAGCTGGCTGGCAAAGAAATACCATTGGCATTGCCTGCGTTCTTGTGTTGACAATGCCACAAGCTGCCCTCCCAGATGGAGGAATTAAGTAGAGCCAGTTGTAGGTCAGAAAAGAAAGTCCTCTTTTCTGGTAATCAGCCTTGATTATTATTTGTGCAGTAGTAACAATCTCCTGTTTCATGGTCAACAATAACTGATGATCATTCTGAAGGCATCTTTCATGTTTCGGCTTTGAGCATTAATAATGTGCAACAAAAACCTTAGATATAATGCACAAATACAGCATGATTTAGTGATGACTTCTCCTTCACACTGTATTTTTTATACTAAAATATGTGGTTCTGTTTCTTCTTAGGAGCGCTCAGACCATGGAGTTTTTCAAAAACCAGCTTTTGAGGGCAGTCATAATTTTATAGCTATCTCCAGGCGCAATGATACTGTCCACCAGCAATTTGTAACTTGCAGTCTCCAGGAAAGACTAAAAGGTATGTACTGTACATCCTTCTTCCTGCCAAAAAAGTGCTTTTTTGTTTTCATAAACCCTCGTCAACTAGAAAAACAGCTAATTAGAGTAAGTGCAGACTGTTACTTTGAAGCATGAGGATCCAGAGAGGGTGGGAGAGCTGACTCAGAAGTTGTGAATTAGATTCCTGGCACAAATTCCAGTTTAAGTAACAGTTTTTAACTCGCTGCCCCAACACGTAAGGTTGGATAAAAAACAAATAATAAGTGCAAAATATATAGTCAAAATGTTTATTTTCTATAGGTCTTTAATGAGTATCAATGATTTAAAAAAATCAAATGGTTTAGATTGTATGTCCCAGTTTATAATCAAATATAATATATGTTGTAATGTAATAGTTTACAAGAATTACTAGTTTAGTTTAAGACTTAAATATTTTTAAATGCCAGAAACAGCCTTTAAATTTACAAGATAGTTATGACAAAGACTTGAAATTTGGGAATGTAGGCTGTTGCCAATCAGAAACTAGTGTGTAAATATTCAGCTAAAATATCAACATTAAATTTTACTTTTCTCCCTTACCTTCTCCCACTACCTACCACACAGGACTCTGAGTCAGCAAGGTGCTTATGCAAGCTTTTGAATTTATCCCATTGGTTATCTCATCTATTTAATGGGACTGCTCATGTTTTTAAATTGCTGAAGTACCTCTCTGAATCAGGGAAACTTAAGTTTTTATGTAGATGAACGATGGTACTGTAGTCTGAATTTGCATGATTTTATCCAGCTTTCTAGGTAAACATGTATTATAGAATTATAGAATAGAAAGAATAATCTTCTAGACTGCCATGAACAATGTGTGGACTGCTCATAATTGAAGGCAATATGTTCCTTTGTACTCAGGATCCATGCCTGTAAAATTCAAGCAGAACTTTCCATTATATTCAAGGATTTGTATTGATTTCAGTGGCAATTTTGCTTGAGTAAAAACTGCAGGTTTAGTTTTAAGCATGTTAAATTAATTTAAAGTTTAATAGGTAGACTTCCCTCACATGAGCAAGTCAGATCCCAGCTTTGCTGTTCTGTTCCCTTACATGTGTGGAACTCCCATCAAGAGTTCTGCAAGAATGAGAAATGTCACCATTGTTGGCCTACCCTATAGAGAGAGCCATTGCATAAGATGGCACAACTGAAGGGAGGAGGAAATGCTTTTGCTTAACAAAGCTATCAGCTGCCAGGAGACATCTCTACCCCTCCCACCTAGAAAAAAGTGACCAAAAAAGATCAGTATTCTCTGAGGGATAATAGCAGCAGTCATGTTCTGCACATTTTGCTCTTTTCTACATTTTTGAGTTAAAGACAGAGGAGGAGAAAGACGACAGCAATGGCTTGGGGAGGACAATCCATATAGGATGTTGAAAAGATACCAGTATCATGGGACATGAGAGACAAAGAGCTGTTCCTGGTGTTTAGACAAAAGACCATAGCCTGAGAATGGATGGGGAGTTTAGAGCCAAGAGGGGGGCAAGATCTCTAAATATTACTGAAAAACAAAGAACTCCTGTGTACTATGAGTTCCACATTTTAACAACTTAATTGTATGGTAAAATAGGAGATAAGACGACAAACAAATCTGTGCTTAAGACAGTGAATACATGGGATGGGTCTCTGGGTATCAGAACTCTATGCAAGTGATTCTCAACCTTTTTACACTCAAGACATCCCTCAATAAGGGCTAACTCTTAGCTTTCACTCCTTTTTGATCACAGAAAAGTAATATAGCAATTCTTTTGTTGCAGAGAACTCAGAAAAACTACAAATGGTCACACTGTCTTTGGCACTCTGGATCCCTATTTAAAATCTCTGGGTTTATCTTGTGAATGATGCGTAGGTATTTGCCCATCTGACAGTGCTAATATTGAGTGGCACCATGTGGCACCCTTAAAAGGATCTCACAACACCCTGGTTGAAAGTCACTGCTTTATGCAGATCTTAAAAGAAAGTTTGGCCTAAAACAGTGTGGTAAAAAAGTTGTATTTATCATTTGAGTTTTACAACAGAAATATTTACAGTTTATGTATTAGGGTTGTTGTTGGTTTAGCCATGTTGGTCTAAGGACATAGGCAGACTAAGTTAGTTGGGCAAATGTGATATTTTTTATTAGACCAACTAAACAGTTGGAAAAAATGTTCTTTGTAAACTTTTGTGTACAAACACCCTTTAGGCACAGGGAGGGTTTGTTGCTGCTTGGTGTGCTCTTCTAGGTGGAATGAAAACAGAGCAGCAACAAACTCTCCCTGTGCCTGAAGTAGGGTGTTTATTCCCAAAAGCTTGCAAAGGACAATTTTTCCAACTATTTTACATTGACCCGAAGAACTTTGTCTGCCTACACTTCATGTAAACACATGTCTCAAATAGTGTTGCCTCTCTTTGTACCTTCCGATCATTTGTTACAAATACTTGTTGTGATAGTTCTAATCCTTCAGTGACATCTGCATTGGTGGGACCCTGGACCCCCACAGGGAGGCCCAGTTACAAACTTGAAATTGTTTTCTATGTCTGCCTAAACTGAAGAAAATCTAGAACTGGGGATGGGCTTTTGCTGTGTATTTGTACAGTGACTTGCCGATTGGAATCTCAGTCCTTTAGGTGTAGTAGAAGGAATAATAGTAGGAATAATAAAAATGACAACATCAGTAACAATAATAATGCATTATTATTATTATTATCTGTTATTACTGTGCTGTAACAAATACAAACATTTAATGCCAGGAGTTTAATTATGTTTAATAAAATGTCACATTTTTGGTTCCATTACTAGTCATTGCTCTATACTTAACAATCTTCTAAAAGCTCAACAAAGGTAGCTTTTTTTTTTTTTTTTTTTTTTT